ATAAGACCGCATGTTTATTTCAATCAGGCATGCCTCTCTTTCCAGGTCATCGCTACTTGGGACCCGGGAACCCCTTAGACAACGGCCAACCCGTGGACAGAGACGATTGGATAGCCCGGCAGCACGATCACGACTATTCCAAGGCAACTAGCGACCAAGACATCTTTACAGCCGATCACAAGGCCATCGGCGACTTTGTAAGTGATTGGAGCGACCGGGGTTCGTGGCACTCTCTCGTTGGTGCAGCTGGGCTCGGTTTTAAAAACCTAGTAGAGGAAAAGGCTCTCGGCCGTACACTCTATGGAGGAGGGGAAAACATGTCCGGACGGAAACGTGGTCACGATAGCGGGTCATCACCTGACTTCAAGCGGCTCTATGGAGATTCAGTCGTCAACTTCATCGAGCGAGCCCTTTACTCCGGAAGCGGCGCCGCAGCTGATTCGTCAACAAGCAACGCAGACCCGTGCCCAACGGACCAGGAGACCTCGCAAGAACTCACCCAACAACGCGGGCCCGGAGGAGCAGGAATTGGAAGTAATACTCAAAATGAAGGAGTCGTCGTACAGCAAATTTTGCGCGTCCCCAGAGACCAAGGAGTGGTTTCAGTGTATAGTGACAGTAAATTACTTACCACCTGGGGGTACGCCACCGTGTTAACGAAGATAACGTACACGCACGACAAAAAGTATTACGGCTACTTTACGTCCATGTCTCGCCTGCCCGTCGAGTTTCCCTACCTCTATATTACACCGGGCACTTTTAAATCGCTGCCTCCAGACACCAAAGCCCTTTCTTGCCGCGCAAAAATAACGCCTCACGGCATCCGCACTCCCTGGAAAACTGGATCTACCGTAGTACAGCCGGTCAATTCAGACATGTTGGTGTACGGGGTGAGTTCGGTGGGATTAAACTTGTACCTGGACACGGGCATGGCCAAGCCGGGCACGGGCACGACAGACAATCAAATGGTAACGACGGAACCGAGCGAGTTTCACACAAACGACCATCGCCTCTTGATCGAAAAGTACTGGGGCGTAAGCATGGACAGTAGCGGCACTTTAACAAAATCCGACACAATCCCCACGTGCATGGGGGTACCGCGGCACAACAACTGTTACGACTTTATTCATTGTGCCGACTTTGCACCCCGCACCAACAAGTTTATTAACACTTTCCCCTTCAAAAGTCACGTTGGCACTCCCATAATTAATTACGATTACACTTTTCAAAACGGCTGGCTGCGTACGTGCGCCCCAATGTGTGGGGATTCCAACACGTACATAGCCGCCCCTTCGACCGTAATGGGAAAACAACTTTCGACCCTGGACTCTACAATCAAGGACACCAGCGTGCAAAATTCCGTAATAATGCTACAGCGAGAGGATTTTGACAGCGAGTACGACAGGCCCATCGAGCGCGAACACAGCCACCAGGGTTTAATACACAATCCCCCCAATTGCAGCAAGGCGCAGCCTAGCGTGGGTTTTGGAATTTTGGCAGTAAGCAAAAAATCGATCGATTCTCCGGGCAGCAACGATAAATTTCAAGACGTGTCGGCATTTTTCCAGGTGGACACAGAACTGGTGCTTCACTCGAGCAACGATACAATATCGCCCATGCAAAAAATTAACAGCGCGTGCCACCAACACTTTACCAAAACTAAGGTAAACAAGTATATCCCAGCTAACCGACAAACACACTTGGGCCACTACACATATCACGAATCTGCCGGAACCGCCAAGTTACTCTCTGTACCATTCAAGCCATAATAAAGAAACTTTTTATTGTTTCTTGTACCCACATCGCCTGCATATCTCGTTATTCGTCAACCAATTGACTACTCTGTCCCATTCTTCGTCCATTGCTCGTACCATCCGCTGACAGTAATCATTTTCGCTTTCATCTTCTCTCCGAACAATGACCAGATGATCGTAATTGCCTCGAAGCACCTTGGCACAAATATCCCTTTCCTTAAGATTTTCTTCTTGTGTCTTCTGCGCTTTTACCCTCTCCTTATGCATGCGTGCTTCGACTTCCCTCTT